TCATCTTCTGCAGTGTCTACAGGCTGTCCTCGTGCCCGGGTGTGGGGTCCTGCATCACACGACCTTTTCTCTCTCTTCCCATCCATTCCACTTACCCTTCTTCTCTATATTCAAATCTTCCTTCCTCCCTCTTACTAGGACACTTGCGATTACACTTAGGGCCCATTTGGGTTCTAATCCAGGATAGCCTCCTCATCTCAAAATGCTTAACTTAGTCATCTCTGTAAAGTCATATAATTTAACAATCAAAGCTTCTCAGAATTAACATCTGGATATTATTGGGGATCATTGCTTAACCTACCACACAGAAGCTTCAAGTTTTTGTTTCTCTGAGAGGAAAGTAAACTCATGCTTTTCATTTGAGACTGACTAGTATTTCTTTTTTTGTTATTTATTAAAGTTATTGGGCTGACATTGGTGAATAGAATCATATAAATTTCAGTGTACATTTCTATGATATATGATCTGTATATGACATTGTGTACCCACCAGCCAAAGTTAAATCATCTTCTGTCCTCATATATTTTGTCCCTTGTACCCTTTACTACCTCCCCAAGCCCTTCCCTTTGGTAACCGCCATACTGTTGTTTATGAGTTTCAGTTTTATGCCCCACACATGAATGAAATCATATGGGTCTTAGCTTTTTCTACCTGACTTATTTCACTTCGTGTAATATTCTCAAGGTCCATTCATGTTTTCCCAAAGGGCAGTATTTCTCCTAGCTCCTTCTACAGATGTCTGATTCAGTGGGCTGCAATGTGGCCCAGAATGGGCATTTCTCAAGAGGTGAGGCCAGTGCTGCTGGTGACCCACTATCCTGAAGGCCACCTGTTAATTTCATTGGACATAAACTAAGTATATTACAAATATTTATTCATTTTATCCTCATAACAACTGTAGGAGGCAGCTGCTGTTATCCCCACTTCAAAAGAAATTGTGGTCATAGAGACATCAAGCAATTGACCTCAACATGCACAGATATTAGCAGAACCAGGATCAAACCCAAGCAGTCAGGCACAGTGGCCTTAACTCCTAGCCATTGCTTTCTCCTCTATTGTTCCAGTCAGTCTGCAAGACTCCAACCCACTTTTTGGCTCTGCTCCTTTCTAGTATGGCTTCCTACTGTCCCACTCATCCCTCTGTGACCCTACCTCAGAGCCTCAACTCCCCTATATGCAGCTTCAAAGACCACCCTGGCACTTGCAAACAGAGGCCCCAAGAACCACGCCCAGCCCTTGGCCAGCAATACTCGCTGTGACCAAAGGCTTCTTCAGGATGGCTGGAGTGCTGGGCTCAGCCTGAAGATGGCACTAGGAGATAAGCCTGATGGGTCTGAGAGAGATAAAGGAGGGGGTGGGGGCAGGAAGCGGCATGAAGATTGACACTCTTGGCTGCCAACGGCAGCACGGTGTCACTTTGCCCACTCTTTGATTATCTGGAGCTTCCCACCCCTTTAGGGGACTGCACTTGTGGACACGTCTGGAGACATGCAGGTTGGAGAGGCTGCGTCTAGTTCTCCCTGAAGGTGCACATGTTAGTCCAAAGTTGCTACAGCTCATGATGGTCGTTGTTTTCTTCCTATTTACCCTCTTTTCAGTTAAGCCCTACTTCATTTGTCTTTGGGCAAATTTGTCTTCAGTCTGGGTCCTTAGGGTTTTTGCCTTTGTGGGAGCAAAGTCAGCCTGGTGCTTGTCATTTCTGGCACTGTGGGGGAGTGGGAGTGAAGAGAGTTGAGAGGAAGATAACTTATAAGAAGGACCCACCAAATGCCAGGCATTGTGCTCTGGAAGTTTTCATAGGATTGTCTCATTCCTATGAAACAATCTATCTGCTTTCTATTCAATTCAATTTCTGTTTCACAGATTAAGAAACAAGGTAAATAGATTGTCCAAGAGCAGTGCTTCCAAGGGTGATTTTGTCTCACGTTGGATGCCAAGGCCAGAGTCCTTTAGTGTGCCGAGGCTGTCTTTCTGGCATTTCATACTGTGGGCCAGATGAATCACTGCTCCCCACACTGAACCTTCCTTTGTCCATCCATTCACCTGTTCTTCATCCCTAAATATTCCAGACCTCGTACTAAAGTGTCAAAGATGAAAAAAACATGATGTGGAACTTCCAGTCAAGATGGAGACACAGGTAAACACAGCTCACCTCCTCACCCAACCCCATCAAAAGTACAACTAAATTAAAGAACAACTGTTACTCAGAACCATCAGAAATTGAGTTGAGTGGAAGTCTAACACCTGTAGAACTAAAGAAACCACATCCATCTAGGCTACTAGGAGACACGGAGACATGGAAAAGTCTGGCCTCATACCCACCTGTGATAGATAAACATTCAGGAGGAATATCTTGGGAGCAAGGGGTCCTAGCCTCACACCAGCCTCCACCCAACCCCAGAATTCAAGTGCCAGAAAGATAAGCCCCCATAACTTCTGGCTATAAAAGCCAACAGGGTTTATTTGGGTTGGTGAAAGAAGCCACTGGATTCCTAAGTAATTTCTTTTAGACACATCATACTTAAAATGCCAAAGGTTAAAGATAAGGAGAGAATTTTATTTTATTTTTAAAACTTTATTTTTATTTATTTATTTTTAGAGAGAGGGGAAGGGAGAGAGAAAAAAGAGAGAGAAATATCAATGTGTGGTTGCCTCTCACAGCCCCCCAACCTGGCCTACAATCTAGCCATGTCCCCCGACTAGGAATTGAACTGGGAACCCTTTGGTTCACAGGCCAGCACTCAATCCACTGGCCTCACCAGCCAGGGCAAGAGAAAATTTTAAAAACAGCAAGAGAAATGCAGTTAGTTACCTATAGGAGACTTCCCCTAAGATTGTCAACTGATTTCTCAAGAGAAATTTTGCAGGCTAGAGGGGATTGACAAAACATATTCAAAGTCATGAAAAGGAGGGACCTATGGCTAAGATGGCTCTACCCAGCAAAGCTATCATTTAGAAACAAAAGGTAGATAAAGAGCTTCCCAGGCAAGAAAAAACTAAAGGAGTTCATCATCATCAAACCATTATTATATGAAATGTTAAAGGGACTTATTTAAGGAAAAAAAGAAGATCAAAACTATGAACAATAAAATGGCAATAAACACATACCTATGAACGATTGAATCTAAAAAGGAAACTAAGCAAACAAGAAGAACAGAGACAGAATCATAGATACAGAGACTGTTTTGACGGTTGCCATATAGAAGAGGGTGTGGGGGAATGGGTGAACAGGTGAGGTTATTAAGAAATACAAATTGGTGGTTACAGACTAGCCAGGGGGTGTAAAGTATAGTACAGGAAATGGAGTAACCAAAGAACTTACACGCATGACCCATGGACATGAACAATGTGGGGAAATTGCCTAAGGGAGTGAGGGGTGCTGGGTCTGGGGGCAAAGGGGGAAAGATTGGGACAACTGTAACAACATAATCAATAAAATATAATTTTAAAAAAGAAAGAAAGAAACATGATATAATTTAAAGAGTTTATAGCATAGTGGCCTGGGGGAGCACAAGCAAAAGGAGAACTTAAAACCATGAAGTAAAGCTCCAATACTGTGGTATAAAAAAAATGGAATTGTTAGAGTTTTTGAGGAGAGGTCCTCAATCCAGTGCAGGGAAGGGTAGGGAGCCAGGGAAGGCCTCTTGCATGTTGTGGCATCTGGACTGTTTAAAAGGAGCTAGCAGAGCCCCCCACCCCTTGACACACACACATAAATGTATCAATAGTTTCAAAAAATACCCTCCCAAGGAGGATAATTCTGAGAAGAAATGTTTATGCTTTGAACCTAGGATGCCTGGTTTTCCCACTCTTCCTCACTTTCTACTTCCCTGCTGTCCCTCCAAGCCTTGAACATCTCCTTTTCCTAACAATTATCAGTCAGCGCCAAGAGAAGTCACTCTTGCCCAGTTACAGTGAACTCGTCTCTTCTCATCTGATGGCTGAAGGACTTGGCAAGTCCTCAAGACATGCTATGGGAGAAACTCCCAGAAACTCAGTTCTTCTCACCAACTCAGTAAGCAGTTACATATCAGCAAGTCTATTAGCATGCAAGCAGGGTTTACTGGTGACATGTGTTCTCATGGAAGAGAATGGGCCTCACCAAGGTGGGGAAGAAAGACAAGAGCAAGGGGGCAAGGGCAGGGGTGGCAAAAGCAAGAGAGATATTGTTTATTCTGAGGACTCATATAGTGGGCAGGAGGGTGAAGAAATTACTTATTGATTGACAGGTAAAGGTGTGCTAGCTTTCCAGGATGGGGGTGTGAATACCCAAAGGTGTTAATGGGCTTCTTCCTTTAGGCACTATGGGCCCTTTCTGGCCTTTCAGGCCTTGGGATGAAAACACAGTTTCAAAGGCTTTCTTTCCCAGACAATGGAAAAGATACATAGAATTTCAAGGACTGATGGGACAGTGGGTGGGACATGGATCCCTTGTCCTCCCTGCCTAACAGACACATGATGGCTGTGATCTCTCCAGCCTCCTGACTTTTGGTTTGTGTGCTCAGCCCAGTAGGTACAAATGTCCTCTCTCTTGTCTGTGCTTTGTTCATCAAGGGCATCTGTGGTCTCCTACAGTCCAAGGTATAAAGCTACTCTGAAATTCTTAACCAAATGCTACATATTTCTCTGCCTCAGGTAAAAAAAAGAAAAAAAAACTCCACTGACTAACAAGGCCACACTAACAATGAGCCATGGGTAACTCTGAGCATCAGAGGTTTTTGTCAACACTCCCAATCCCACTTGGGGACTCGGGGTCATTATATTTTTATTTTCTCTTTTCTTGGGGTCTGTAAGCTACCATCTCCCTACAGATGAACCATATTTTAGTCAAATTTCAGGAACCCCGATCATTGTAACAGTACCTCGCCCATTCCATGTCTGTGGGACCCATGGTCCCCAAACACACCAACCCTAGAGTCTGTGACCAGTCTCCAAGCTGTGCTGTGGCCTTAGGAGAAATGCTAGGAAGTGACTTCATGATTCCTTTTTGGCTTCCTTCACAGAAAAGTCTCTTTTATTTATTCAGCAGCAAATTTCACAAACTTAATAGCTTAAACACTATACATTTATTTTATCATAGTACGGGGACTAGAAGTCCACGAACAAGTTGCCAGCAGGGTTGTGTCCAGTGAGGCCCTTCCAACTGGCTTGTAGATAGATGGCTATCTTCTCCCTCTGTCTTCACAAGGTCTGTCCTCTGTGTGTGTGTCTTTGTCCTGATCTCTTCCTGCAAGGACATGAGTCATATTGGATGAGCCCCTCTCACATGACCTCGTTTTACCTCAGTTATCTCTTTAAAGATCTTATCTCCAAATGCAGACACTTTCTGAGGTAGTGAGGATTAGAAACTCAAAATATGAATGTTGAGGAGAATGCAGTTCAGCCAATAATGGTTCCTAACACCACAGCCAGGCAGCCTGATACACTATTAGCCAGGTTATCAAAAGACCTAACAGGTGAATATTTATTTTTGGTTTGGGATATTTGGAAAGAGAGGTCTTGAAGCCCTTTTTAATATTCATTCCCCAGCCTTCCAGCGTTGTTTCTTAGATGTCAAGGTATTGAGACTCCTCAGACTGTCTGGCCTCTAGATCACCCGGTCCCCACCCCCTGACCCTGGCCGGCCTTCAGCCACCGCGATAGGGTGGACAGGCCCTCTGATAAGTGAGTGGTCACGGGTGTGGACGGGGGTGGGGTCCACAGGCAGAGCTGGGTCCTAGCTGGGAGTCTGGATTCAGGCTGGGGTTGGAAGCCAGTGGTCAAACCTGGGTTGCTCTCCTTGCACACATGCTTGTTAGTGTGGAAGTCATTGCCCAGGCGTGTGTAGTATTTCTCAGTGATGACCTGGGTCACCTTCTTCATGGTCTTAGTGGGAACACGGTCCATCTTGGCAGGTCCCTGGTAAAAGAGCCATTAGGCCCAGCAAGAAGCTCTGAAACAAGATAGCGAGCTATGTCACACATCTGATGAAGCGGGTTCAGAGAGGCCGTGTATGAGGCATCTCCAGGAAGCTGCAGGAAAAGGAGAGATGGGGAGAGAGAATGATGTTCCTGAGGTCTCAGCCCTGGGCCAGGAGATCATTGAAGGTAATCCTGACACTAAGGAGATGCTGGAGCTCTTGGACTTCGGCAGTCTGTCCAACCTGCGGGTCACTCAGCCTACAGTTGGGAAGAATTTCAGAGCACCATGTGGAGCTGTTCAAATCCTTCTGCTGTGCTATAATGTTACCAATAAACCACTGACAACCATAAAAAACCCCAAAACAAAAAACCTGGGGGTAGGCTGGGCCTTGGCAGCGGCTGCCAATTTTGGTTTCCCACGCAAAGGCAGGGGTGTGTGTATCGGGTGCACCAAGCCCGGAGAGGCCAAAAAACCAGAGAAGCCCCACCCCCACTTTCCACTCTGCACCTGGCCAACTTGAGTGCAGCTGCGCTGGCAGGTGGGAGTGTAGATTGGACTCTCCAACTTAGAGCTCTGTGGCCCTTGTAGTTATAAACATTTTTAGTAACTACATTTCCTCTAAGAAAAAAAATTAAATATATGTCTTGTAATACTGGTTTGGTGGTGATGAACTATTTCAGCTTTTTCTTACCTGGGTCTTACCTTTTTTTTTTGTCCTCTCTTGCCTTTTATCATTTTTCTTCCATCCTTCCTTTTTCCCCTTCATGCTCAGACTAACAGCCAGGCTGACTGTAGTGTCTCCACATAGTAGGGCTGAAGCACTGTGTTCTGCTTGCCTGTAGCACAACAGTTTGCTGAAAAGCTAGTGGGTTCACTGGTTCCAGGTGCCCTCTAGACTGGGCAACACGGTAACCCAGAGGAGTTGTTATGAGCAGGAGTGTGCTCCTCACACATCCGTCTGGGAACAGTGAATATGTTTTTTATGTTACGATTACAACATCAGAATATGATGAAAACCTTAGTGCCTCCCAAAGCTCCTGGAAAATGCTAAAGAATCTGACTTGTGTTCCAAAGCTTCTGTGGGCCTCTTCAGCTCTGGACAGTGGTGGCCTTAGCCTTGTCCATTGCCTGAGCCCAGGTCTACTGTTACTTTTTTTTAGTGTGGAAATGATGGAAAGTTCATCAGAAGGTCTCTTGGGAAGGGGTTTTGAATGTTATCTTGGATATTCCCTATGCAAACTGGGTTCGTAGTTGTGGTCTTTGGGTTTCTTATCTGGCTCCTGGCAGTAGGCCTAGCTATTCTCCTTGGGATTTCTGTCTTATTTTGCTGAGTTCAGCCTGCTCGTGTTGTAGGATATGTTAAGGAATGATGCATGCACTGACAAGCAGTGCCTGTGGCATCATAGATGAGACATGAGACAAATTCACACGGACTACTGAGTCCTGTGGAGGAAAAGAGCTGGCAAGGCTACTCCCTCAAGGGGGAGAGCCTCAGAATGGCCTCGTCACCCTCTCAAGGGAGAGTGGCTTGGAGCAGCCTCAGCAACTCTCTCAAGGGGAGCACTGATTGGCTGGGCAACTCTCTCATCAGGGGAGAGAGAGTGCCCTGACCCTTGCCTAGTTAGGCTTTTATTGGGATTTTTGCACCGGAGTTCAGGTACGGCTTATTAATCATTGTCAAACAGTAAACAGTAGATAGTACACAAAGAATCATTAGCCTGTCAGCTAAAAGGCTACAGAACTTTGAGAACACAAACTTTTTTTCTGCTCAGGCCCTTATCATCTAACTAAAAGCATTCTTAAACAAAGCAGGCTTCACAGGGTTTCACATATTCCTTCTTAGGCCTAATCACTCAGGGAGCCTGCCATTCCCAGCACAAGGCTTGCACTGCCTTCCCCATCATAGGTTTTTAGGCTTAAGTGGATTAGAGCCAGGAAGTGCTTCTCCCAGAGGACATGGGGATGCTGCTTGGATAAGCAGGCGGGGGCGAGAAAAGAGGACCACCATTGCTCCCTCTCTGACGCTGCCCCCACATACAGTGTCACAAACCTGAGACCTGGGTGGCCCCGCCCCGGTAAACACCAAGGCGCCTCTCCTCGTATGTAATAGGCATGAACACATCAAAACATGGCTCAAGAACAACTCAGAGCCCCAGAGCCGATAAATCTAAGCGATGAAGAAATAGCCAAACTTTCAGATGCACAGTTCAAAAACACTGGTGATCAGGATGCTCATAGAACTGGTTGATTATAGTCACAAATTAGAGGAATATATGAAGGCTAAATTAAATGAAATGAATGGAAATGCACAGGAAACCAATAGTAATGGAAAGGAAACTGGGACTCAAATCAAAGGACTGGACTGGAAAGAGGAAAAAATGACCAAACAGAAAAGGATGAAGAAACAAGAATTCAAAAAGATGAGGAGAGGCTTAGGAATCTCCAGGACATCTTTAAATGCTCCAACATCCGAATTATAGGGGTATCAGAAGGGGGAGAGGAACACCCATGAGTGGAAACCTTATTTGAACAGAGAATAAAGGAGAATTTCCCCAATCTGGCAAAGGAAATAGACTTCCAGGAAATCCAGGAAGCTCAGAGAGTCCCAAAGAAGTTGGACCCAAGAAGGAACACACTAAGGCACATCATCATTACATTAGCCAATATTAAAATGAAGGAGAGAATTCTAGAAGCAGCAAGAGATAAGGGGACAGTCACCTACAAAGGAGTGACATCAGACTGTCAGCGGATTTCTCAAAAGAGACATTACAGGCAAGAAGGGGCTGGAAAGAAGTATTCCAAGTCATGAAAACCAAAGACCTACAACCAAGATTGCTCTATCCAGCAAAGCTTTCATTTAGAATGGAAGGACAGATAAAGTGCTTCTCAGATAAGATCAAATTCAAGGAGTTCATCATCACTAAGCCCTTATTATATGAAATGTTAAAGGGACTTACCTAAGAAAAAGAAGATAAAAAAGATGAACAGTGAAAGGACAGCAAACTCACAGTTATTAACAACCACACCTAAAACAAAAGCAAACTAAGAGGACAGCTAGATCAGGAATGGAACCATAGAAATGAAGATCACATGGAAGGTTAGCAACAGGGAAGTGGGAGAAGGAGAAGGGGGTAGTAGGTACAGAAAATAAGTAGCATAGATGGTAGGTAGAAAATAGATAGGGGGAGAACAAGAATAGTATGGGAAATATAGAATCTAAAGAACTTGAGACACATGGTCATAAACTAAAGGGGGGAATGGTGGGGGAGGGGTGTGCAGGGTGGAGAGGAACGGAGGAGGGGAAATAGAACAACTGTAATAGCATAATCAATAAAATATATTAAAAATAAACTGCTCATAATCATAAAAAAAGAAAAAACTGAGATGTCACCTTCAGTTATCAGAATCATTATCATCAATAAATCAATAAACACCTCGTTTTGGCCAGGTTGTGGAGCAAAGCAAATCTTAAGTCGGAATGTAGACTGGTACAGCCACTGTGGAAATCAGTATGAAGTTTCCACAGAAAAATTAAAAATAGAAATGCCTTATCTAGTGACTTCACTTAGGAGTATATAACTGAAGGGTTCATACATGTGTATAGTGAATGTTACTCTGCAATAAAAAAAGAGTGAAATCTTGCCATTTGTGACAATGGACAAGGACCTACAGGGTATTATGCTAGGTAAAATAAATCAGTCAGAGAAAGAAAAATACCATATGATTTCACTCATACGTGCAATTGAAAGAGTAAAGTAGTTGAACAAATAATATAGGTACAGAAAAGACTGATGATTGCCAGGGGGAGAGTAGCTGAGGCACCAGGTGAAAAAGGTAAAGGGGTTGAGAAGTACAGATCGGTAGTCACAAGATAGTCACAAGGATGTAAAGTACAGCATAGAGAATGTATTCAGTAATATTGTAATGACTGTGTATGGTCCAGGAGGGTACTAAAAATATAAGGGTGCCACTTTGCAAAGTATGTGATTGTCTAACCACTATGCTGTACACCTGAAACTAATACAAAATAATATTGAATGTAAACTTTAATGAAAAATAAAATTAAAAAATAAAAAATAGCCCTAGTTCAGGAGATTGAGTGCCAGCCTGCTAACCAAAGGGTTGCCAGTTTGAATCTCAGTCTAGAGCACATGCCTGGGTTGCAGGCCGGGTCCCCAGCAGGGGGCATGGGAGAGGCAACCATACATTGATGTTTCTCTGCTTCTCTTTCTCCCTCCCTTCCCCTCTAAAAATAAATAAATATAATATTTTAAAATATATATAAATATAATCTTTTAAAAATATATAAAAATAAAAAAACACTAAGCAGTTTGTTCATTTCAAATACAAATATGCTATAAGCATATTAGAAAATATAAAGCAAAAATGCATAGGAATATGTAGCCATGTAATATCATTTCAACATAAAATATTTAGAAATAAAATTTAAATTTGTAACTCTTTTTAAGAAAATAATGACAGAGGCATGACTACATGGAACAGACTGACAGCTGTGTGGCAGAGGAGGAGGGGGTGGGGGGTGGATGGAGAAGGGAGGGACTGGATGAAAATAGGTGAAGGGATTGATTAAAGGACATATAAACCTTACCAACAGACAACAATGGGGTGATAGCCTTAACAAGGTCTAGGTGGAAATGGGCAAAGAGGAAAAAATGGGGACGTTTGAAATAGTGTAAACAATAAAATGAAGTTTAAAAAATATCAAACTAAACACAAGGCAATCAAAGATATTTAAATTAAATATTGGCTCTGGCTGGTGTGGCTCAGTGGATTGAGTATTGGCCTGCAAACCAAAGGATCACAGTTCAATTCCCAATCAGTGCACATGCCTAGGTTGCAGGCCATGTCCCCAGTGCCAGCCACTTGAGAGGCAACCACACATTGATGTTTCTCTCCCTCTCTTTCTCCCTCCCTTCCCCCTCTCTAAAAATAAATATATAAAATAAAAAAGAAAATATGTATTAAAAATAAATTAAATATTAAAATCTAAAAATAGATTTTTCTTTTTAAATTGATCTTAAAAGCAATGATTGCCAGTGGTATTAATACTGAGTATTAGTGTATTTCTGTGTGACACTTTTCAGCTACTCTACCCTCATTGGATTGTTGTTCTCTAACTCCTTCTTCATTCTCCAATAAACCCATCTGATGTAATAACTTTGAGAAGATATATTAAAGAAATTTTGAGTTTCAGCTTTGTTAGAAATGCAAATTACTTTTAAAATAATAGTGCATTGTGGTATACATTTAAAAGTGATTAGATGTCTTTATCTTGTATAGCATTATCATATATATGTGAAAATTCTAATAGAAGGTTACCTTGTTGATTTCAATATTGTCATGTTCATAATCCATTTTTTCTGAGACTCTTTAAAATAGAGTAAGATTTACTCTTGTAATAGAAGGTAGCTTGCCTTTAATAATTATACTCTCTTTCTCCTGAGGATTTCAGAATTATAGCAAAATAGTATAATTTTGCTATACTATTGCTATACTATTGCTATACTATAAGTCTGGTTTATTCAAAATTGCAATGAAGCATATGAATACCCAGTTTAGCAAGTTTTACTTAGTTACAAATTGAATCATCAATAAATCTAGGATGTGGTCTCATAGTGTAAATTACTCAGGGATTGTGATAGTACATTAGAAAAATATCAATATTTAAGTTTGCAAAAGAGTAAAGTATACTGAAATTTCTTAACTCAAGTATTCCAATCACTTGGTCTAATCAATTTGATTTATCCCACATTACTCAACCAAACAGGAGATGAAAGATGACTTTGATCACTACACCAACACCTACCTAATCTATTCTAAGAAGCCCCAAAACTGTCAAGAATTCCTTGGTAGGTCAGATGTCATCAACTGGAAACAACATTTACAGATCCAAAGTAAGTAACATCTGTGATGTGTGTTGGCAGCTGGGACTGCTAATGTGTATACCTGCCAGATCACTTTTCATTCCAAGCACACTCCCCTATTACCTTTACTTCCTTATGTTAAAACCCAGACACTCACCTTGTTGTTCATTCCTTGTAGCAACTGCCAATACCTTTTTCTGCAGAGGAGTAGAATTCAAACATTCCAATTTATGGAGTTAATATGAAGAAATGTGAGTCATGTAATTTCATGTTATCTGAGGATATATTTTGAAGTTGTATTCGGGATCTCTTAAGGTGGTCTCTTAAGCTCCCTCTGCAGCCTTCGGATCTGTGGCATTCAAAATAAGAATGACAGCTCATTATGCCCTAAAGCACCTCCCAGGTCACAGGGACCATGGCCATGGTTAGGAGCATGCCCTCCAGAGTCAGACTCCAGACTCCCTAGGGTGGCATCCTTACTCTGCCAGTTACTCGCATTGTGATCTTGAGCAAGTGATGTAACTTAACCATTATTCAGTTTCTCATATATAAAAAATTGAAGATGATAGAATACATAAAACATAGGGTCAATATAAGGATCAAAATGATATTAAACCGCTACTTGGACATATTGTAGAGACCCATGCATGTTTGGCTACTATTTGTTCATAATCACTTCTTCTTTGATTTCACAATGATATAGCCAAGATTTCTAGTAGTATCTCTGTTTTGCATAAGAGAAAAGTGCTCAGGCAGTGACACAGCCAAGGTCATGTGGTCATGGGTAACACCAGAAACAACATTGCCTGACTTTGAATCCTGCAAAACTTCCACTGGGAATCTTCTTGTAGCATCTCACTTCTCTCCATACTTTACCCCTCCGTAGGTTCACAGTCCAGCCTGAATGAGGCAATACAAAATCTTGCAGTTATTAAACGGGTCCAGGCCGAGCTGACACAATGCATTCTCTATATGGAGTCCAAGACGACAAGAAGACTTCTCCTTTCCCTGCCACAGACAAACAATTTCCCTCTAAAAGCTGGCAAAATCAAAACTCTGAGTTTTGAAAAAAGATGCTCTCGCCACTCACATCTTTCACTACTTCCCTCCCTACATCCACGCTGGCCTCCCAGCAATCCATTTCCAGAGTGATTCTTTTACTGTAATAAGTAACACAACTCATGTCGGTTCACCCACTGAAAAGCCATTGCTGTTTCTCAGCTGGACTTTCCAGGTCCCGCAAGACTGGGCACTTATCACCTTTGGGATTTCATCTTGTCTGTCTTGCTTACTCAAGTGAACAGCTCTGTTCTTTCTGCAACTTGATCTCATAGACTCACACATGACTTTGGGCCATTGAATTTGCTCCTTGTCTACCTAAATGCCCTTCCCTGTAATCTTCACATACTTGTCTCTCATTTTTTTGGACATTTGTACTCTCAAATGGCATTTCCTTGGAAAGTACTTCTAAGAGCACTGTGTCAGAAAACACCCTCTCACATAATTTTTCAAGACATAACCCAATTTTTATTTACTTTATTGCACTTATTATGATCTGAAATCATGTTCTTTGAGGTATTTGCCTACCTGCTTGTTGCTTGGTCCTCTTCTATGATATTTCGAACTTTACAAGAGCAAGTGTCCTGTTTATGTTGTTCAATGATAGATTCTCAGTAGCCAGAACACAGCACATACTAGATGCTGAATACTCATGATAAATTCTTAGTGCAGAAGTTTTCCAGTCATGAGAATTTAAACAAATTCTGATTTCCAGTCCAACACTGAATATAACAGAACAGTAATGGTGGAAGTTTGAACTGGAGATGCCCAATTCCATGGTTCTCCTTCTGTGGGTTAATGTGAATAAGCATGGACAAGCTTTATTCACATTGCATCACATATTACACCTGAAAGACATGTCCAAGTGCATAATAATCTCATTGGGTTTTCTCATTTTTCCCATGAGATACACAAAGTAGGAGATATTGTCCAATTATTCTTGACATGAAATAGGGTAAGATGAGGAAATAGCTTGTTCAGCTATATCACGTGGAAGTTCAAACCTTAACTGGGGATTGAGTCTCCATTTCCAGTTCTGCACTGTGGACTCTTTCCAGGACACTTACTGAAAGCTATTTACACCATAGCAGACGCCTTCACACTTCAGTGTTCTATACCTGGGGTGCCACCTGCACTCCACCCACATCACTGCCCCTTTCTGGACTTGAGCTTCCCCACAGCGGCCAAGGTCCTCCTCCCACTAACATTCTAAGAGTTCATGATTATCAGCTCTGGTTTAAAGCTTACTAGCAGGTGCTTTGGGACTCTTGCTTATTTTCTGTTTGCCTGTATTTCTTATCTGTAAAACAGGGGTGATAGCAATTCCCTCATCTTAAGTGGAACATCACAGCAATGTCCAAAAGAACAATATTTAATTTTTATGTAATTATTATTGTTTGTGGGGCACAAGTCCTATACTTACATGATATGTCATGTAATATTCATAATCTGCCTTTTGATGAGGACACTATTAACATTCCTGTTCTATAAAGAAGAAATGGAGGCAGAGAACATCACATTCCTGCTCAGGATTGCACAGCTGGTCAGATTATGCATGTAGGCCTCCTGGCTGCAGAACCTTTACCTTTACCTGTGTTCTTTTTCTCATTGTCTAAAGACAACTTAAGGGAAAACAAACGTAGTACTCCAAAGTGTGTGTGATATAATGGGCTCTTCTTCTCCCTTGTTTCCTACAGCATTGAAGACATGTTTAAATTCTCATCCCTCAGTGTAATCCATGCTGCCCTGGTGAATCAGTTCTGGCATTTCGGTGGCAATGAGAAGAGCCAGAGATTCATTGAACGCTGTATCCAGAACTTCCCCAGCTTATGTCTGCTGGGGCCTGAGAGGAACTCTGTGTGCTGGGGTGTCATGGACCAGACAGGAGAGATTCGGATGGGAGCCACCATACCTGAGTACCGAGGCCAGGGTCTCATATCACATATCCTGTTTGCCTATTTTCAGGCTCTGGAAAAACTCAGATTTCCTATATATCTCAATACAGACAGAGCCAACAAAACCATTCAGAAAGCCAGTGAAAATATGCTCTGTATCCCCATGCCATGTGACTGGAACCAGTGAAAATGTGTGCCTCTGTGAAGTAGCCCTGAACATAAGACAGTGTTGGGTGGGCTAGTCATATAACAAAAGGAACATAAAGGTGGAAGGAAAGAAAAAATAAATGATGACCTTCATTAAAGCAGTTCATTTTATTTGGGCTCTTGGGAAGTAGTTTGTATTGTCTACATTACTGATGTTGTCCCTGTTCACAAGTCACTAACAGATTTCCCTTTGGGTCCAGCAGACCTGGCACATGCAGTCCTGGCATGTGCAGACCTTCCTGTAGTGAACACTGGTCTTTTTCTCTTTCCTACACTTCTGGATCTCAGTGATACTCTTCATTCAGCTTCATGCTGCCCTAATACTTCTCCGGAACTCTTATGTCACATATGGTTTGTTGCCAATAAGTATATTTTACCTGTTTTGAAAGATGTGGTATTATAGGTAGTGTAATTTATACCACGTCCTTTCATTACCCTCTGGTTTTCTCAACTCAGTTCTATTGAGGTATAATTGACAAAGTATATATTGTGTGTGTGTGCAATGTGATAATTTGATGTACATGTATATTGTGAAAGAATTCCCACAATCAAGTTAATTAACAGATCCGTCACCTAACATACTTATTTTTTTTAAATTTTAGATTTTATTTGTTTATTTTTAGAGGGGAAGGAAGGGAGAAAGAGAGGGAGAGAAACATCAATATGTGGTTACATCTCACACACCCCCACCTGGCCTGCAACCTGGGCATGTGCCCTGACTGGGAATCGAACCATGACCCTTTGGTTTGCAGGCCCCAGTGCTCAATCCACTGAGCCACACCAACCAGGGCCATACTTACTTTTTTTCTACAAAAATTCTTATGACTTACAGCATGGCTATTGTGATTTCTGGATCATATGTCATCTGTGTTAGAAAATTTCTATGCTGCAATACAATATTATCAACTGCAGTCACCATGTTCTAAATCCTCAGAACTTATGTTATGACTGAAAGTGATACCTTTAACAAAACTTCTATTTTCACCTCATCCTTACCCTGACAATCACCTTCTACTTTGTTTCCATGAGTTTGACTTTTCTTTTTTAGATTCCACATATAAGTGACACCTTGGAGCACTTGTGTTTCTCTGTGTGGCTTATTTCATTGCTTTACCAATATCTTTTACTACATATAGTGATTAAGGAAAATATGCATAGTTAACAAAGAATACCTTCAACCCACTATTCTAGTTGTGCCATTTATTTATTTTTGCATCAGCATATTTATCATTATTTAGACTGTGTCCTGGGACCCAGAGGTAGAGAATGCAGTGCCATGTTGTATACAATACAAAAACAATTTAACATCTTGATATTCAGAAACAATATGCATGCAGTAAGAAAATTGTACAATTGTTATTTTATATAGACAAACTAGTTCAAAATTTAAGGTGAATGAGCATAAATCTACAAAATCATATATAACCTCTGAAATTTTACCACACATAACATTTATATTCTATATAATAAATTAAAATGATCAATATTGCATATAACTTTTGCTAAATGGATGAGGAAAAAATGACATGTTACTGACTTGTTTCAAGTTGTAGTATGAACATGAATTAGGCAAGACTACTCTGGGTAGTGAGCGCTATTACCAAGAGAATTGTCTGTTGTGTGTGAGGAGGATTTTAATAGCAGCCATTACTCTTATATCAAATTCTAGGATGTTTTATACAATTTAATGATAGATATAATATATTGAATGCAACCCTCCTACTAACACTGTATGGTATGCACTAATGTTTTGTGCAGTTCCAGAAGTTTCAAGTTTCAAAAATATTCAGGAAGATGACTTTACATTGAATTTTCTCTTGTAGCACAATCCACCATTCTAAAACTTCAGAAAGTAAGAAGAAAGGATTTTGCATTGTTGTCATATATAGGTGTAAATTAATAAATACTTGTCTTCCTCAAAAAGGAATTTGAGGAAGGACAGTGCATTCATTTCAGAATAGAATAGTGTGTTAATTTATTAACACATCAAGAAAACTAAACAACAAAATTCTCACATCTCTCATGACTTGGTGTAACACAGGTATGAGTACCAGAGAAGATAGACACTGGGGATGTACAATGGTAGAGAAAAACACAGAATACTCTAAGCCAAAGCATCAAGGAAAAAGCAAGATGACCTAAAATTCTGCTGGCCTAAGCACTTCTTTGTGGCATTTGTGATTATCATTACAACATTGAAATTTTCTGAATACTGAAAACACAAAACAGTGTAGATTCCAGTGATAAATTATATTAGCAGTTTATCTTTATCTAAAAATGGCTTGAGCCCTGGCTGATGTAGCTCAGTGGATTTTGTGGGGGCTGAGCACCAAAGGGTCACCAGTTTGATTCCCAATCAGAGCACATGCCAGGGTTGAGGGCCAGGTCCCCAGTGGCAGGCCACGTGAGAGGCAACCACACATTGATGTTTCTCTCCCTCTCTTTCTCCTTCCCTCCCCCTCTCTTTAAAAATAAATAAATAAAATCTTTAAAAAATAAAAATGGCTTGAGAGGAGTTTTAAAAGAGCAGCAGAGGTAGCGGATCTTCTTGCACCTAGTCACAGAATCGAACTGGAAATAAAACTAAGGTGAGGAACAATCACCCTGAATTACCAACTAAGGCCAGCTGAAGTAAAGACTTGTAAACAAGTACTGGTAGAAGAAATCACTGTGAGACTGTACCTGTACAGCAGCTTACCTGCCATGGCCAGGTTTGAGCCTCACAGTCAGCCAGCCTGAGGGTTGAGCCTACCTTCCTTGGATAGGCCAAAAGCAATTAAAACTAATAACAACAGGAGGGTCCTCATAACCCCCACAAGGCACATTCTTAGAGCACCCAGCCTAGGAGATCAAGGAGGTGAAAACAATGGGTCCCAGAGGACATACACTACATGATGCTACCCCACAAAGACTGTAAGTCACAGAGGTTTTACCAAACACATAGAAACAAACACAAAAAGACACCCAAAATGGGGAGACAAAGAAACCTCAAATGAAAGAACAGTAAAAATCTCCAGGAAAAAAAAAGAGATAAATGAAACGAGGCAAGCAATTTATCAGAATCGGAGTTCAAAGTAATTGTTTTAAGGATGCTCAACTACATGAAAAAGGATGTAGAACCCATGAAAAAACAACCATTCGGAAATCATGAATAAACATATCTGAAATAAAGCATACACTAGAAGCTGTAAACAGTAGTCTGGATGAAGCAGAGGATCAAACCAAACATATGGTTTGGATTTCATCAGACCAGGTTAAAAAACAATCAGAGCAACAAAAAGAAAAGAGAATTTAAAAAACAAGGATAATTTAAAGGAACTTCAGGACAATATGAAATGTAAGAACATTTGCATTATTAGGGTACCAGAAGGAAAAAAAGCTAGAAAGGGCTAGAGAAGCTGATTGAAGGAATAATTACAGAAATGTCCCTATCCTGGTGAAGGAAAAAGTCACACAAGTTCAGGAAACACAGTGACTCCCAATCAAGATGAACCCAAAGATACCCACAACAAAACACACTGTAATTAAAATGGAAGATATTAAAGATAAAGAGAGAATCTTAAAGGCAGCAAAAGAGAGAGAAAGTTAATAACCTGCAAGAGGCTTCCCTTTGCCTTTCAGCGCCTGGCTTATTTTACTTAGTATAATGCTCTCTTGTAGGAGACCGGGTTGTTTTGATCAGGCAAATGTGACTCAGCTCTGTATAGAAAACCTACAGAAATGAGGTGGTGGGCAGAAGCCAGACCTTCAAACCGAGTTTTCCCATGGGACTCAGGCCTAGAAAATGCACAGAGATTATTATGGCTTGCTGTTGCTAAAACTCCATCACCCTGGTCTAAAACAATAAATGTGTATTGTCTATCTTCAAGGTAATATCCAAAGCCTGTGAGTTTTCCCAAGGACGGAACCAATCAGCTCACTGCCTTTCCCTTCTGCACATTATTTCCATTTCCTTGATTGTACCTAAAATGTAGACAATAATATTCTAATGTATATTAGGATATTAAAGAAAGATAAATCCTTCTTTGATGTAAGACCTGAGAAAAGCAATAAAAGCTTGTCTAAGCGAGGGTTGGCGTGCTTTCCTCTTGAGAGAGTGGTCGTGCTGTTCCCCTTTTCTCCACAGGACTGCTGTGCCTGTGCATTTATTCTCATCTTCAGTCACAACAAGTGTACTCTGCTGGCCAGAGTCCGCCACACTCTCTAATCCTATCGATGCTGTCACAAAGGGTAGGAGCTCCTTCTTTCTTTCTGCTGCGTAGTATTCCATTGTGTAAAGGTACCATAGTTTTTGGATCCACTCATTTACTGATGGGCACCTAGGTTGCTTCCAGCACTTGGCTATTATAAATTGTGCTGCTATGAACACTGGAGTGCAGAGGTTATCTTGGATTGATGTTTCAAGATTCTTAGGGTATAATCCCAGTAGTGGAATTGTTGTGTCAGGAAGCAATTCTATTTTTAGTTTCCTGAGGAAATTTCACACTGTTTTCCACAGTGGCTGCACCAGTCTGCATTCCCACCAATAGTGTACTGGGGTTCCCTTTTCTCCACAGCCTCACCAGCACTTCTTGTTTGTTGATTTGGTTATGATGGGCATTCTGACTGGTGTGAAATGATATCTCACTGAGGTTTTCATTTGCATCTCTCTGATGGCTAATGATGCTGAACATCCTTTTACATGTCTCTGGGTCCTCTATATGTCATTTTGGAGAAGTGTCTGTTCAGGTCCTTTGCCCATTTTTTAATTGGGTTGTTTATCTTCCTGGAGTGGAGTTGTGTGAGTTCTTTATATATTTGGAAGATCAAACCTTTGACCGAGGTATCATTTGCAAATATATTTTCCCATATCGACTCATACTGCAGAAGTACAAAGGATTATAAGAAATTACTACAAACACCGACATGCCAATAAATTTGAAAACCTGGGTGAAATGGACAAATTTCTAGAAAAATATAATCTTCTGAAACTCAATGAAGAAAGAGGAGAAAGCCTGAACAGACCAATAACAGCTGGTAAAATAGAAGCAGCAATCAAACAACTGACACTTTCAAAGGAGAACTTTATAAAACATTTAAGAAAGAACCTAACCCCTATCCTTTTCAAGCTATTCCAAAAAATCCAAAAAGAGGGAAGACTCCCAAACTTTTTATGAAGCCAGCATCATCCTAATTCCAAAACTAGACAAAGACACAACAAAGAAAGAGAACTGCAGGTCAATATCACTGATGAACATAGATGTTAAAATCCTCAACAAAATATTGGCAAACCACATCCGGAAACACATTAAATAGATCATACGCTATGATCAAGTGGGATTCATTCCAGGGGTGCAAGAATGGTACAATATTTGCAAATCAATAGACATAATATAGCACGTAGACAAAAGGAGCCCTGGCTGGTGTAGATCAGTGGATTGAGCATGGGCCTGTGAAGCAAAAAGTCACCAGTTCAATTCCTAGTCAGGGCACATGCCTGAGTTTCAGGCCAGGTCCCCAGTAGGGGACACATGAGAGGCAACGATACATTGATGTTTCTCTCCCAATTTCTTCTTCTGGTCCCCTCTCTCTGAAAATAAATAAAGTATTTTTAAAAAACAAAAGGAAAGACAAAAATTGCATGATCCTATCATTAGATGCAGAAAAAGCATATGATAAGGTACAGCACCAATTTATAATAAAAACAGTCAGCAAAGTGGGAGTAGAGGGAGCATTCCTCAACCCAATAAAGGCCATGTATTGAGAGACCTACAGCCAACCTCATACTCAATGGGCAAAAAGTAAATCTTTCCCACTAAGATCAGGAACAAGACAAGGTTGTCCACTTTCAACACTTCTCTTCAACATAGTATTCGAAGTCCTAGCCACAGTGATCAGACAAGAAAAATAAAAGGTATCCAAATTAGAAAAGAGGAAGTGAAACTGTAACTGTTTGCAGATGACATTATAGTATACATAGGGACCCCTATAGACTGCACAAAAAAACTACTCGACCTAATAAGTGTATTAGGCAAAATGGTGGAATGCAAAGTCAATATTCAGAAATAGAAACCATTTTTGTACACCAACAATGAAATATCAGAAACAGAAATCAGAGGGAAAAAATCCATTTGTTAAAGCAACAAGAAAAATAAAGTACTGAGGAATAAACTTAACCAAGGATTCCTCCCGACTCCACCCCTCCTACCAGTCTGGATGAATATGTCTACTTTAACTCCTTGGTTGTCAGACTTCCAGTTCAATTTTCTGTCAGTACTGGTTGTTTTTTTTGTTTCTAAATTTTTGTTGTCATTTTGATTGTGCAAGGAGGCACAGTGTGTCTGCCTATGCCTCAATCTTGGCTGGAAGTCTCTCTTTCTCTTAATCAGCAAGTAAACTCTGTTCATTAGGTCTGTAGAAATTATCCTCTCCTCTGATTGCTGCTTTATTGGTACATTCAACAATTATACACAAATATATATACTTGAAACATTAGGTTAAACATAACACAATGATGTCACAGGGAGAGTTACTAAGAAAAGGACGAACTATATTAGCCTGTGCTCTCCTCACTCCACACCAGGGAAAATGATTCAATATTGTTTCTAAAAGCAGAGCTTCCTAAATCCATCCAAAATCCCCCAACAATAAAGAGATTGTGTGTTTGATTGTAAAAGGTGAAGTCAAGTGGTTCATGATGGGAAGACCCTGGACTAGTTTATGGAGAGCAGCAGAATCCAGACCCAAGGGGGTGGGTGATTTTGAGAAGAGGTAGAAGTTGAGGGAGGGGCAGTAGAGCATGGGTACCTCCTGTTTCACTTGACCTGGGCCCATTGTTTCAAGAGGCCTGAAATGCAGTTCAGACAATAGTGTCCTGGGAGAGACTGGTTGGTGGTGTGGAGAGTTGGTTTTCCTGATTCTAACAAGGTAGCAGGGAGAGTTTCCTGCCCCAGCATTTCAAGGGAAGCAGCACTAGACCTCAGCACTGTGCAGCAAAGAGGGCACTGGACTGAAAGCAGTCACCTGGATCAAGAACCTGTTCCCTTTTGGTCCGTCTACAACTGGAATTAGGCTATGGAATTGGGGATGAAGCCCCTCCCCCCCGAAAAGCCAATGACCGAGGTTTAACTTCTCGGCGGCTCGATAGAGGGAAAGCCCAGTTTAGAGCTGAGTTTCTCAACCTTGGCACAAGGGGCACTTGAGACTGGGACAGTCCCGTGCGTTTCTAGGATGAGTAGCAGGATCCCTGCCCTCTACCGCTGGATGCTGGTAGTGCCTCCATTCCAGTTCTGACCAGTAAACATGTCTCCGGCTCTTGACAACACATCCCCTGGAGGCGAAATTGCCTCTGGTGGAGAACCAGGGGTTTAAGAGTGGAGGTCCTCCCACTCGCAGATGCACTGGACTTATCTAGAGGATTTAACTGAAGTGGAACGGCCGCTGCCGGCCTCCGGAGGGAGGGGCGGAGGGACTTGTGGTTTCATGGGCACGCGGTGTCAGTTTGACCAGACGGGAACGTTCTGGGGATGCAGGGCGGCGACCGTGGCACAACAATGATACTATGCTTAAGGGTCGAAGGGGTTAGTTACAGTGGTGAGCTTTGTGTTCTGTGTTTCTTTTAACCGCAGACGGGGCGGGGTCATTCGGTCTCACCCAACAGCCTTCCAGCTGATGCATCTGCGAGGAAGGAGAGCGCCCACTGACCGACGGCGCTCACTGGCAAGTGTCGCCGGTCCTTAGAGGGAGCGGCAGTCTGTCTCCGCAGCCAGCCGCGTAGGCTGGGCGCGCGACCAGGACGTTGAAGAGGGCGCTGTCAGTTGGGTCCATGGTTGCTTATTAAGGCTTAGTAACACTCCTTTCACTTTTCATGTCGATTTAATAAATAACCACAGGAAGTCTTTTATTTAGACACCACGTTTTTCCATGTATAATGCACATCCATGTTTTGGGCCCAAATTTTCAGGACAAAAATCTTTCGTTTTAATTTTTAATTCAATTATGTATGTATGTATGTATGTATTTATTTATATTCAGGTACTTGGTTCCTGTATTATAAAGAAATTTTAGCATTTGTTTTTGAACATATTATGGTACAAGAAATTTTATATAACAAATAATTACAAAACACAAGAACAGATACAGGTATTTCAGGTACTACCCATACATAACGCGCATCCTCATTTTTCCCTCAAAAATCTGGGCAACAAAGAGCACATTATACCTGGAAAAATATGGTGTGTGTGTGTGTATATATACACATATAACATGTATTATATATGATATATATGTATATTTTTATATATATACAATTTTTTTAACTTCCTGGAGAAGGAAGCTGCTGGGGCAGGCAGCAGTTGCGGTCTGCACTGCCCTCTGCTGGTAGGTGATGCCAACGCAGAGAAGAGCGCTCCCGGCTTCCACAGGAAGGTCTGTTCACACCACTGGGAGAGCCTTTTACTTTATGGGCACTGGGTTTTTCAAAGAGGCAGAAAGTGAACTAGTGGGCTCAGAACTTAGTTAAAAGGATGCACTATAAACCAAGAGGGTGGACAGCTGCCTCCTCCTCCCCTTTTCCCCATTACACTTGCCTGTGCAAGAAAGAAGGTGAAAGGATTAGACAAAGGACACATATGCATGGCCCTTGGACAGGGACAACTGTTGTGTAGGATTGCCTGAAGGAGGGGGTTGCTAGGTGGAGGTGGGCAAAGGGGGGGAAGTGGGAACAACTATAATAACATAAATAATTAAATACAATTAATATGCATCAAAAGCAATACTTTCCTCCTTTAACAGGGTGCGGCTAAAGGGGGGGTGGCAAGTAGGGATTTGTAATGGGGTCCAGGATTTGGTGTCCAGAAAATATTAGAAAATATATGTATATATATAGGGTGTCCTCACCCCCACAAGTCTGAGCTGGGGGATGGGACACATGGAACAGGGCCATTGAGTTGTTTTGCACAGCAATAGTTTTGCAGGTAACCTCTAGAATGGTCATTTAACATATCTATAACCTTTAACTGGTTTCATAGATATGTTAAACAGCTGTGGCCATGCTTT